AGAATATACTCATGCAACATAAAGCATTATTTTAAGATAACACTGCCTTTAGTCAAAATCTGAATTATTTAGGAAGATTTACAGGTTATCTGACTGAAAGGGGGCATAGAATAAATTAAATTTCTTAAATTTATACTGTATATTTTTCCTAAATGCTTGGTAAAAGCGGCTTTGTTTCTCTTGCCTAACCTCAAAGTGCCCGGAAGTATTCCTTCTTGTTAGTTAATGTCATTTGTCTGTTATTAACTCCTCAGATAACTCTGGAGAAAAAAGGAAAACAGAAGGGTGCTGATAAGACTACCTGTGGCTCACGGACTCTCCTTCCACTGGTCCTTAAAATTACATTTGTTAGCCAGGCTCAGTGGCTCAGCCTGTAATTCCGCACCTTTGGGAGGCTAAGGTCAGTGGATTGCCTGAGCCTGTGGGTTCGAGACCCCCCTGGGCAGGGAGACCTCATCTCTACAATAAACCCCCCCCAAAAAAAAAAAAAATCAGCTGGGCGTGGTAGTGCATGCCTGTAATTCCGGCTACTCGGAAGGCTGAGGTGGAAGGATCGCCAGAGCCCAGCAGGTTGAGGCTGCGGTGGCCAGGAGCGGCCACTGCACTCCAGTCTGGGCGACAGAGTGAGACTCCAACTCAAAAAAAAATAAAAACAAAAACAAAATTACATTTGTTTTGAAACAGAAATCCAGATATGCTTGGCTGATGATTTTTACCTACTCTCTGGAAGAGCAGGAAGGGATGCAAAAAAAGCGGTGATCGCATAGGAAGCCAGAATCTACCATGTCGCCTGCTGCTTTCTGATTAATATCACAGGAATAACAACAGATATCTTCATGCTCGATAACTTCATGCTGATAACAAGCATCAAATCAATCAGACTCCCCACTATAATGAGCTCTCTCTTGCAAGGTTAAATCATACCAAATTAAAAATTACTGGGCGATTAAATGACAATGATACCGATTTTGAACTCAGAATGAACAAACTGCAAATACACTCGGCAAAGAGAAAACAGGATTGGGAGGGAGGGATGAGGGGAGAGAGGATTACATTTACTGCTAATATGAATGCTGTTTAACAACAGGTTACAGCAACGTAAATCTAGAATTTCAACTGACAAGTGTTATGTGACAAATGCATATACCCATGGCATACTACATGCCCTGGGGCAAGGTGAATGGCAGGAAATGTCACAATCCACTCCATGCTCCTCCTCAGTCATACAGCAGGGATAGGTGTCAAAATAAGGTTTAGGAGCCAGGCAAAGTCTTTTGCTTTTCAGCTGGGTGTTTACGTTAACACGCCAACTTTCTCCTATCATTTAGTATTAGATTCGATTTCTTGGTCCCTTGAATTAAGATTCTCTCAGGAATCACTGCAGGAAACAGAGTGATCCAGAACTTACCAGTTATAAACTGGCCTTCAATACCAGAGGCTTCAGCAGTTTATAATAAGAATTCCATTCAGATCTCAAGATCAGCTAAGCCTAAAAAAACACTTCAAGGTCATCTGAACTAACATTTCTACCCGTATTTATAAATAAATTGCATTTACTTGCTCCTAAAACTTTTCATGAAAGATATGTTAAATTTTCTTGAGAAATAGTTTGTTTTTTGAGCATAATGTCACAACAGTTCTCCCACGCTCAGTGTACTGACTATTCACTGGAAATGTATTTTGTTTTCCTCAACTTACCTGCGATGTCGAATGTCCACACACTTGTACACAGGACATTTCCAACAATGCACACACATGTGATGTGGAAGTCTGCATTCAGTTCACTCTGACCAATGAGGGTTAACTGTTATTGCTTATTAAATGCTGCACAAACTAAGACAGGAACATACTCTAACATTTAATAAATGTGATAAAACCTTAATCATGTGGGCCACTTTGGAAAACAGTTATCAATTCCTCAAACGGTCACACAGAGTTACCATTATCATCCAGCAGTTCCACTCCTAGGTACGTGCCCAAGAGAAATGAAAACATACATCTACATAAAAACTTGTGCACAAATATTTATAAATTTCATAACAGCCAAAAGGTAGAAATATCTATCACCTGACAAATAATAAACAAGTGTGGCATATCTATACAATGAAATATTACTCAGCCATAAAAAAGGAAATTCTGATACATGCTACAACATGGATCAACCTTGAAGACATTATGCAGAGTCACAAAGGACCACACAGGACCCAATCACATTTCTAAGAAATGTCCATATCTATAGATACAAAAAATAGACTCATGGTTGCCCAGGCTGGTGGGGGTGGGCGAACAGCTAAGAGGGACAGGGTTCTTTGTGAAATGATGAAAATGTTCTAAAATTGACTCTGGTGATGGTCACATAAAACTGTGAATATACTAAAAACTACAGAATGACGCACTTTAGGGTTTTTTTTCTTTGTTTTGGTTTTTGTAACCAAAACTCTAATCCCAAGCATTGTTTTTTTTTGGTTTTTTTTTTGAGTTTGAGTCTTACTCTGTCGCCCAGGCTGGAGTGCAATGACACACTCACGGCCACCACAACCTCAAACTTTTTGACTCAGGCGATCCTTCTACCTCAGCCTTCCAAGTAACTGGAACTACAGGCACGTACCACCACGCCTAGCTAATTTTTTAATTTATTGCAGAGAAGAGGTCTTGCCAAGTTGCCCAGGCTGATCTTGAACCCCTGGTCTCAGGCAATCCTCTTGCCTCTGCCTCCCAAAGTGCTGGGATGACAGACGTGAGCCACCACGCCCGGCTGAATGATACTCTTTAAACGGTGAGTTGTATGCTTGTGAATTTTAATTCAGTAACACTGTTATTTAAAAAAAAAAAAAAAATCTGTTCTGAGACATGAGGTGCTTGAGAATCAGCAAACCTCTTCCACAAAGCTTTTTTGTTCTATGGTAAAAGATTTAGTCAAGTCCAATTTACTTCGTTGTAATTGGAACCAGCCTGCAGTATTTTGATATGTACATTTCTAAAATGTGAATGTAGTTTCAGAAAACACATTATTACATCAGATATTCCAGGCAGCCTGCCATGAGACATCGTTACCAAAACCCCATCTTAAAAGGAATCCATTTAAGCAGCCTCAGGGTGTGTGTCCTCTCTTGTTGCCTTTCGTCTCTTTGTAAGCCATCACCTTCCTGAAACTCCCATGCCACACAGCGCTGGACAGGGTAACTCACTCAGTTAGCCGATGGCTGGACCCTGCTTGTGCCCCAGCCACTGTTTTAGGCGGGGAGAGAGGAACAAGACCAAGTCCCTGTTCTCATGGAGCTCATAAGCCAGAGAGACAAGACAAATCATTTAAAAAATACTGGGTGTTTCAAAGTTGACTTCACACAGGGTTCTAGTCAGGCATGGTGGCTTGTGCCTTTAGTCCCAGCAACTCAGCAGGCTAAGGCTGAACCCAGGAGCTGAAGGCTGCGGTGAGTACTCTATCCTGGGGGGCAGAGCGAGACCCCACCTTTACATATCGAAAAATAATTTGACAATGAAAACACCAGGATGCTGTCCTGTGGAGGGGTGTGAGTTTAAAAGGGATGGCTCGGAAGGAGGCTTCTCTGAGGAAGTGATATTTGAGGTGAGAAAGGAAGGTGTCAGTCACACAAAGATCAGGGGAGAGCATCCCAGGTGGAGAAAGTGATCTTTAAATGGGAGAACTGGGAGGGGAGAAAGGATGGCTGTGCTGCTGGTGGTCAGCCTGCCCCAGGACTCTCGATGACCAACCTGGGACAGGGCATCTGGTGAAGGCGACCTGCTGACTGTGGCTAGACGAAGATCTCCTACCAATTTGAGACTACTATCACAGCTCTTTGGCAAGGGAAGCCATCTCAGGCACACCCAGCCCCAGTGGCCTTTCCTCTTCTCGTGCCTCTTGACAACTGTGCCTCATACCAGGTACTCTTTCAACTCACACTGGCAAAAGACGCTGTATGGAGTCTTGGGACTTACAGACAACTTGGATGTGCACGAGGCAGTGCTTAGGTAGGAAATAATCTAGTAGTACAATACATAGGTATAAACAGCAAATCTAAGATAGAAAGTAAGAGTGGGCCCAAAAGGAGCTATAAAATCGAAGGGTTTCAGAGATTACTTCCAGCTGGAGGCAGTGGCAGCCTCGCAGGGTGCAGGTCCCAGGGCTGGGTGGGTTTATGAAGCCTGAGGGTCTAGACATGAGGGGAATAAGCACATTTATTAGTTACATCCCTAATTAAGTTTGACTACACAGCTGATCCTTGGACAACACGAGCTGGAACTGCTCGGGTCCGCTTGCATGTGGTTTCTCAATAAACACAGTCAGCCCTCCATATCAGCAGCTCGTGGACCTTGAGAATGTGTGGATTCAGGTAACCACAGGGGGTTCAGGACGAATCCCCCGAAGATACTGAGAGATGGCTGTATTTTAAAACACTTTCAGCTCCCAACCAGGTCCAACTGAAGGAGGGAAGGCCTAGTCCTCCTGGCACCTGTCTGTGATATGCAGCAGAGTATTTTGCAAGGTTGGGTGATTCATTTGTAGATTCACTGGAAGAGATGCGGTAACAACTGTGACCCAGAAGGGAAGGCTGAATGACTCTTTGCTTCATAAGGAGGTTTTGGCCTAGGAAACAGATGGTCCCCCAAACCTCTGAATGTATCATCCATCTCCCATTTCAGGGGGCCACTCCAAAGTGTCTTTCCAAAACTAAAAGGTGCTACGTGTAACTATGAATACACAACGTGGTCTGAATCACACACCTAAAATGCTTGTATGTATTTGTGTGTCTGCACACGTAAATCACAAAACCTCAAGTTCAGAATCTCATGAAAGTTTTTTAAACTGAAGTTTGTATTTAAGAGAAAATGCTTTTTTCACTGATCAAAACTTCCCCGTCCAGTCCCTCAAAGCCCCTTCCCATTCCCAACACAGCATTTTAAACCAGAAAAGCAAAGCCCAGCAACATTTTTAGGCAGTGTCTCAACATCTCCAAAAATTATTCCATGGCCAAACTCACCATAGAGAGCTGTCCAAGTTTGATTAATTACATCTAGACACACAGTTCCTGACCTGAAACAGATGGAAAGAATGGCATTTTTTTAAAAATCAGAAAGTTAGTTGCATGTATTTGGCAACTAATTTTATTTATTAATAGAAACATTTTTAATAGATTCTTTAAAAAAAAAAAGAATCCCAGCTGGGGAAAAGTATGATGAGGAGCGGAATATTTACAAGGTCTTAAGTGTCTCCTTACAGACTGAGGAGAAAATAGCAAGTAGACAATGGAGAAGTCAGACAGAACCTGAACCAGGAGATCAGAATTAGCACTGTGAACACAAGGGCACACAGACCTTGATGCCTCCGGATGTGGGACCCTAAGGAGGACACCTCATACTCGGTGGTTCTCTGGCCTAAGCATGTGCCTGCCCTGAATTTAATGATAAGGAAACCTCAGGAAACTCAGACTGAGGAGCAATGTGTAAAATACTGGTCCACAGTCTTTAAAATATGAATTTTATAAATAATGAAACCAGGCTGAGGAACTGTTCCTGATTGAAGTCATATGAAGAAACAGGACAACCGAACATGATATGGATCCTGGATGGATCCTCTAATAAAAGAAAAAAGGGCTGAAAAGTTCTCTCCTGGAATATGGCAGCAGGTTAAATTAAAAGCACTGCCTTCATATTAAACTCTTGAATCTAAAGCCCTTAGTGTGGTTATGTGAGAGAGCACCCTTGCTGTTAGGATGACTGATGCAATGAAACATTAAAGGACAAAGGGGCATGTGTACGCATACATACAACCTACTCACACAGGGCTCGGAAAAGCCCCACACAGACATGTGTGAGAGACAGCAAAATGGAGCATCGTGACAAAAAAAACCCAAAAAACCAAAAAACCGAAAACCTACATCCCGAATCATGTATTCTAAATAGCACTGGAAGCACAACACAGGATACACCGGAATCATATTTAAAGTATCGCTAATAAGGGAGAGAAAGGGAGAATTATGATTCATTAACTGAAATGAAACTACAGTTATTAATATTTGTCTTACTCTCAAGAATTGAGAAATACTTTTAGGGCTGAAAATAGTAAATCTGTATCCTCAGAACAGATCTCTGAAGTGTGTCTATACAAAGAGAACTGAGACGTGGACTGTCACAGCTGTTAGCTGGATAACAAGAAATGAAGGACCCAGTCATGACAATGGAAAAACTAAGTCGTACAATAGCAGGATCTGAATTATATGGCTTAAAATGTCACAACCCTAGGACTCTAAGCTTGTGACCATGCGTACAGTCCTTGCCTGATAAACATCAGAAAAGATAACAGGGTTTTTTCTCGTAACGAAGGAAAGAGAGAATAACTCTAACCAAGAGCAGTTGCTGCTAAACGTTAAACATGTTAAAATAGTTACTTACGCTTCATCAATGTTGGGATGGAAAATTTTATTCATGAATCCTGTAAAAAGAGATGTTAATTAGCAGCAAAAAGTATCCAGAGAACAATTAGTTTTCAAGTATTTCAGTACTGGAAATAATTTCAGTATTGGAAAAAGGTGAAATAATACAGCTCATCACTTCCAACCTTAGCTCTTGGGTTAGACTACATTGTCCTGCCAGCTTCCGTGACTTGAAATACACCAGAATTCTGTTAGCAGCCTTTGGGAGTAATGCAGTTTCTTACACAAAATGGACCATTAACGCAGATATTTTCTGAGCTCTGAATGTACTTGCCAAGAGAAAAATTATAATACCAGTTGGTATACAACTATTGTCATCGTAAAAGCTAAGAAACTTCACTGTGACGCTTCCCATGAGTTTTTCTGTCCAGGCTCTGAACCTGGAGGCCTACACCTGAATTCTCCCTCCAAGGCTCCTGTGTGGCATCTTGGCTGCGCCGTGAATTGCTGAAGGAACCACGTCCAGACCACAGAGTATGCTGTAAGAGCAGTGACCAAGAGACTTCCTTTAATCTGAGTCTACTCATTCAGGGAAACCCAGTTTTGATTGAAATTGGGGCAACAGAGAAATGAAGCAAGGAGTTTAAAAAATCTCCAAGATGATCATATCTGTTGAGGATTTAACTTTTTAAAATTTATTTCTAGAAAAACAAGTGCACACTTTAGCAAATGGATTGCTACTTAAATTCGAAGGAGAAATTGATTTATTCTCTCACTTAACACTAGTGATTTAATCAGCTTGTACGTATGCAAATAAGAATATTCTCAGGAAGCGATCCACTGCCAGAGCTGTCATTTTGTCATCCTTGTCACCTCACTTCCTTTTAGGACGCCCTCATTCGTTCCACACTTTCAGTGCACTGAAGCTGCTTCCTAAGATGACTGTCACCCCCAGCCCCCCTGCCCCCCTTCCCTCCCCACATGTACTCCCTCTCATTCATTCAGAACATACTTGGTCACCTACATGGCGGGCACTGGGCTAACCTACAGCACAAAAATGAGCAAGAAAACAGATTGCTCTAGAGGAGGTCACTGTAGCAGCGGGGCGAGAGACATAAGGAAATCACTGCACTGTGCACAGAGTGACACTGGAGAGGACACATAGGAGGACCAGAAGGTCAGCACAGACCAGGGACCCATGTTGGAGGAGCAGCCTCAGGTAAGGAGCTACAGAAACTGTCTCCAAAATCCCAAGATGCTTTCCTTGAATTAGAAAATGTGGGACAAGAAACCCCCAGGAAGTTCAGCCTCTGCTTGCTCTAGTCACTCCAAGTCCTAATAATGCTTCCAATTTTTGTTTTTAAATGTTTTGTGTTGAAATCGCTTAATACTTTGTCTATTATTATTGAGAAAACCCATGTGATGTTTACTCTGATGCAAAAAGAAAAGCCTTGTGTTCAGTGTTGGCTATTCACTGAGGAAATTAAAGACGTTTCAAGTCTAGATTTCAGAGGTATGTGGTTTATGACAAAAGTGTAATAAGCTGATGGAAGCATTCATGATTTAACGTTAAGAAGAGAAAAAGCAGGGTAAAAAATCCTACACAACCCTGGAAAAATACTAACACACATGTCCAAACGATCCAGGAGGATGTTCATAGCAGCACTGTTTACAAAAGCCAAGAACTGAATTCATCCTACCAATGGGACTAGATAAACCGTGGGACACCCACACAACAGGAGTTCTATACAGCCGAAGGTCATGACCTAGGTCAACACACATCTATCTTTGGGTAGATCTAAAACTGGGAATAACATAGTTACAGCATGATGTATTTAAATAAGCTAAAGCAAAGCAATACTATCTATTCTCCATGGCAACAATTATAGGAAATCCAGACTAGACCAACACATTCCAAACTTGCAAAAGCAGTTATTTCTGTTACTGTATCGGTAGGAACAGGACACAGAATGGGAAAGAGCGGTAACAAATGACTTTAACCACTTTAGATCATTTTAGTTTTGAAATTTTTTTTTCATGTCAGGTCACATGCCAATGTCACAACAAGGTTTAAGGGAGGCACATCTCACACAAGAATGTGAATACCCAATCATCATGCCTATGAACTAAAAAATGATCTATCTTCATTTTAAAAAGAGAATACTTGTATATTATTTTGTTTGTTTCTTTTTTAAGATAGGCTCTGTGGCAAGGCTGTAGTGCAGTGGCATGCTTATAGCTACCACTGCAACTTGAACTGCTGGACTCAAGCAATCCTCTGCCTCAGCCTCCCAAGCAGCTGAGACTACAGGCATGCGCCACCACATCTGGATAAATTTTTTGATTTTTGTGAAGACAGAATCTTGCTACATACATTGCCCAGGCTAGTCTTGAATCCTGGCCTCCCACCTCAATTTCCCAAGTCCTGGAATTACAGGTGAGCCACTGTGCTGGGCCTGCTCTGCTTCTTGTGTGCACACAGATAAGAAACTGGAAGCAGATACATACAAATGTTAACAGTGCTGAATTCTTTTTTTCTTTTTTTTTGAGTTGGAGTCTCACTCTGTCGCCCAGACTGGAGTGCAGTGGCCGCTCCCGGCCACCGCAGCCTCGACCTGCTGGGCTCTGGTGATCCTTCCGCCTCAGCCTTCCAAGTAGCCGGAATTACAGGCGCGTGCTACCACGCCCAGCTGATTTTTTGATTTATTGTAAAGATGAGGTCTGGCTGCCCAGGCGGGTCTCAAACCCGCGGGCTCAGGCAATCCACTCAACTCAGCCTCCCAAAGGCGCGGGATTACAGGCTGAGCCACCGAGCCCGGCTCTTTTTTTCTTTTTGAGTCAGAGTCTTACTCTGTTGCCCAGGCTGGAGTGCAATGGCACACTCATGGCCACCACAGCATTGACCTGCTGGGCTCCGGCAATCCTTCTGCCTCAGCCTTCCAGGTAGCCGGAACCACAGGTACGAGCTACCACGCCCAGCTAATTTTTGATTTATTGTAGAGACAAGGTCTCACACCAAGTTGCTGGGGCTGGTCTTGAAGCCGTGGGCTCAGGCAATCCACTCACCTTGGCCTCCCAAAGTGCTGGGATTACAGGCTGAGCCACCTAGCCTGGTCAGTGAGGAATTCTGGGTGGGAACACTTTTCAAATCCAATCACCACCCTTCCCTCTCCCCTAGAGCAAGAACTAGGATCACGACAATAGAAAAATGCTGGAAGGGAACAAACAGGTGTCACTGGCGTTATCTTTTAGAGACTCTCTCGTTATTTCTATTTGTACTCTTTAACTCTCCTAAATTTCTGCAATGTGTAATTTTAATAGTTGGAAAAAAATCTTTCAAATAAAGTTACAAATCATACCAAACATTCTAAAGTAGACTTAATTACATACAGGTTAATGTTGGATTCTTTTAAGGAAAAGTCTGTAAGGCCAGGAATGGTGGCACAAGCCTATGATCCCAGCACTTTGGTAGGCCAAGGAGGGAGGATCGCTTGAGGCCAGGAGTTTGAGATCAGCCTAGGCAACATAGTGGGATCCTGCCTCTACAAAAAAAATCAAAAAATTAGCTGGGTGTCACCACTCCTGGCCTCAAGCGATCCTCCTGGACTACCAAATGCTGGGATTATAGGCTTGAGCCATCATTCCCGGCCTTACTGACTCTTTTCCTTAAAAGAACCCAACGCTAATTAACCCATATGTAATTAAGTCTACTTTAGAATGTGATAGGATTTCTAACTTTTTATTTGAAATATTTTTTTCCAACTATTAAAATTACACATTGTAGAAATTTAGGAGAGCACATGCCTGTAGCCTCAGCTACTCAGGAGACTGAGGAAGAAGGATCGCCTGAGGCTAGGAGTTCAAGGATGTGGTGAGTCATGATGGCGCCACTGCACTCCAGCCGGGTGAGAGAAAGACCCTGACTCCCCCAAAAAAAGGTCAGTAAAACCAACTATTTTATTTAAAATCTCATATCTTAAACATATTTTTTGCTAATGAAATACAAATTCTTTCCCCCTGCTCCCACCCCCCAAAAAAAACCAGGGTCAGAAGATCTCAGGTTTTTAGGTGTGTGGCCCTTGTGCTCAGTCACAAGCAGGGCTACATTGCAGTCACAACTGCTAGGAACCTTTCCAAGAAGTGAGAAACAGTGTCGAGCCACTGTGTGGTTTAATTAGACAGAACAGTTCTACCATGTGGAAAATGTTTTGCTGGAAGCTATGATGAAGAATTCAAAATGTGTTCTTGATACTCAAGTCCTGTCTCTGCTAGAACTTCAAAACCTAGGGAAAGCAGTGTCGACAGCAAAAGCTCCTAATGCCAGCGACGGTGAGAACTGCCTGGAGAATGCTCCAAAAAGCAAAGGAAGGTTGGTGCGGGGTTCACGTCTGTTAGCCTAGGACTTTGGGAGGTCAAGGCAGGAGGACTGCTTGAACCCAGGGGTTCAAGACCAGCCTGGGCAACATGGTGAGACCTCATCTCTACAAAAAATGAAAAAAACAGCTGGGTGCTGTGGCATGCGCCTGTAGCCCTAGCAACTCAGGAGGCTGAGCTGGAAAGATCGCTTAAACCGTGAAGTCCGAGGCTGCAGTGAGCCATGATGACACCACTGCATTCCACCTGAGTGGCAGAGTGAGCCCGTCCCTAAAACAACCACCAGAAACAAAAAAAAACAAAACACACACACATACACGCTTTCCAAAAATTTTCAGACCAGAATGACAGAAAGCAAGCAAGTAGGCAGGCGTGGGGGTTGGGACTTTAATAAGATGGTCAGAGAGGGCCTTCGGAGGCAGCAGCTCACTGGCAAGGAGGTGACAGCAGAGGGAGTGTGTCTCCGCAGATGCACAGCCCACGTGCAAGGCACACTAGGAGTCTGCATGGTGTGTCTGGTGAACAGCAAAGACACAAGTGAAACTGAAGGGACGTGAGCAGGGGCAGACTAGAAGCAGCTCTGACAGGTGATAGGCATTCAGGATCCCTTAAGGATGCCGGCTTTCATCTGAGGGAGATGGGAAGGTGCCTTGTTGTTTTCAAACAAATGGCTAGACTCCTAAAA